ATCGTCTTTGCCCTTAACGCTTTAGCTCTAGTGACTTGGGATACAATTGCATACAACACAGGTGCATTAAATGGTAAAGTGAGCTCTAAGTTACTATCTAAAGTAGGTCTTGATATAACTCTTTGCTTCTTCTTATAGATCTGCGCTCTTTTTACGACGTAGACTTAGTATAAAATTCCTCTGCTAACGATTATAGATCCTATTTGCATGTTTACCTTGTACTGGAGTCTCGTCACTTCTGAAGGTTGACGAACGATGCGTAGCACTTTGTTAATCACTAGCCTGTTCGTCACTAGAGGGCGCGTATGTATATATTGATTTTTTCCACCGTCTAGCTTCAATGTATGTACGAGTTACGGATTCTCACTTGTTTTTGAGTAATGTTGTAGAAAATAATAGTGTGGCAAAATAATTGCGATATGAACAACGTTGATAATGTTCTTCAATACTTACGTTGATGCAGCCTTAACCGCTGTCGTATAAGCAAACCTTGCTTGAATTAACGGCACTATACAACAACTCACCGTTCACAGCATTACCTACAGTGACAAGACTATAGCGATTGCGGCTTCGCTACTGCAGGTAGCATTCTAGAAGTTTCGTCATCATAAGACTAAAAACTCACCAATCATGTTGATTGCTCTACAGCTAACTGTTCGCACTAAGCTATGTATAGAAGGCAGGGTTATTCAAAATCGTTGCGCAGCTGCGTGTAAGGGTGAAGCCGCAATCGCTAATCACTGTATCCTCAGCTTGTACGGGGCATACTTTTCTGCATGCAACCCCACAATCATATTCAACACAGCCCCTTTCTTTCTTCTCATAGTTCGTGACTCAAACAACCCAAGATATATGGCAGGTGCTGTCATGATGGATGATAGTTCAATAATTAGAGGCCTTATAGAGAATCACTTGTAGCGAGTAAGAGCATGCATGTGATAACGTGGCAGATATGCTCTTAAGAATAGCGTTTGATACAGAAAATGGCCCGATATGTTTAATTGTAATTCTGAGAAAGCATCACGCGGAAGCAAGAACTGTAGTCTTTTGGTTAAAATACCTTAAACAGAATCACCAAATCTACTCATAACAGTTGCACTGCTAACAAGGCCAGTGATACCAACGTGAAAGAGGAGGAATCATGCGAAGTCCCTTGAAATGCCAGAGGATTTCGAACCATGATAGCTGACATGATGTGAGCGCTTTTGAAGGTCCATACTCGGAAGGCAATGGCCAAGATAGCAAGAAAGACTGGCTCTCAGGGTCTCAACCTTCGCAAGGCATACTCGCTGCCCAAGACAATGGTAACACTAACGCTTCAAGAGCATGTCACTGGGGCTGTTTCGATAAACTCCGATGTTCTTACTGGTTCAAGGAGAGCGATCAGGCCCAAACAGAGCTTTAAAGCGGTTAATGCTTGTTCTCCAATTGTGTTATGAAGTCCTTGTTCAAGTCTAGTGCCTCAACAGACACGCCAGTTCATCTATTTGCATGAATGATTTACCGCCGGGGCTTTCTTTGGTCATCAAAAGGGAGGGAACTGTTTCATCACTGTTATCATATGATCTCCATGTCAACTTTAAGAATATATAAAGCACCTTTCTGTCAAAGTAGAGAAATATACAAACCTATCAATTCATTTGACTACACTGACATTATCTTATTGCAAATTTCTTAGAGCTCTGGATTTTGAGAGTTGTTCCTAAACGAGAAGTGGGAAAGGAGGTAAGGTTCTTGAGTTGGCGATAGTAAATCTCCTAACCATACATGTAGTTCACAGAAAATGCCAGACCGATTTTTCACTATCAAATGGGAGAACAGCAATGAAGCGATACTCTGCGAAGCAAGCCCTGCCGCCTTGGATAGTCATTTTCCGTACGTGACTCAAGATTCCAAAAAAGAGGTGGCCAGCTGCTCTGGTCTCCAAGCACAGGAACAAGATATCTTCACTGGACATAATATGTTAGAGTATATCAAACATTGGCTAGGATACATCTTGAAATTAGGAATTCTCATGGTCATGTTGATGTGTTTGTGGGAGGCGTTGACTTGGGGGTCGGAGGGATGAAAGGTGGTTGGCAGGAGACCAAACATGATAATGCAGACGAAGATGAAGTTGAAAAACCAATTGGAGTGCTTTCTAAACTTATATAATTCATAAGGCGGAAGCAGAGGCTTGATCATATACACCAGGGTCAAATATCGAGCAGCTTAGCTACTAATGTCACGATCATGGTCAATGTGAGTACCTTCCAATTAATCTTACTTGGATGCAACCGACTGTAACACACGGGCTCTGACACATTATTACGGATCCTCAATTATCTCAAAGTCTCCTTATGTGCGGAATTAGTTAACTGCTATCTCGTAGATGTTTGCTTCACAGAGACACGTTTACATATTTCCGCACATGCAGGTTACGCTAGCGCTCCCAAGAATCAGCCCAGAAACCATACTGGTTTCAATCAAGCGTTCAATGATACTGAAAAGGTTTTCTTTCTCCAGGAATGGAGGGGAAGATCTATTGTCCCCTTCCTTGGACCTTTTCTACCAAGCATAAATGTCGAATACCTAAAGTATACACATACAAGGGTCGCCACACCAACTTTTAAGCAGAAATTTTTCATCGAAACTCGTCAATTTTCTATCGGATATAGGGGTAACACGTCGCGAGAAATCGATTTACGCCAACTCTAACGTGTGCAGCCCTCTCGTTGAGGTGCTAGAGGAGGTATTGTCGATTTTCTCGTGACGTGTTC